TCTGAATCTCAAATATCTTACATAGGTGTATCACAAGCATTGTTTATTGGTATAGAAAACTACCCTACCAATAGTTTTCTATGCCCACACTACTTTTCTATACCCCTGGGTAAAGATGTCAATTGTTGTAGTGATACAATACGCTAACAGGACAGGCTCCTTGGTTGAACTCCGTATACTGTGGCAACGTCTCTCAACACTCGCCGGCGTCAAGTAGCCTTTCTCTAGCAGTTTGGGGAGCTAAGACTGCAAAAGCTGGGGTAGCTCAAATGGTCCTATTGAAGGCTCAACCAAACGTTATCTGCCCGGTTCTGGCAGTTAGACAACTACTGATGACAATGGAATTGCGTGATGATTTGCTCTTCGGCTATTATAACGGCGGTGGACGCATTAACTTAACCAGATTGTATCTCTTGAATAAATGTACTCGGGTGTGGATAGAACACGGTTGGCTGGGCTTATCTGGCCATTCCTTCAGAGTTGGCGGTGCTTCCTTTAGGGCGGCTTTGGGCGTCTCGCACAACAATATCAAGCACCTTGGAAGGTGGACTTCGAACTGCTACAAGTTATACCTCCGCGAGTATTCTCAGGAGGAGTTGAATAAGACTGTGGCGCTACTCAAGTACTTGAACGGGGAATAGCACAAGATAATACGTGCAGTAAGCTTTTCTTCGCAGGACGGGTTTTGCGCAGGGCTCAGGCTCCATCTACTCATCTATCTCCATACAAAACATTCTGTTTGATATCCACAGATAACAACTTACTATACTTGTGTAAAATACATTTAAATCTATAACCAAACTGCTTCTCAACCCTCATACAACAGTCAAGTGTGATCAACCAGTGACAATTCATGTAACTGGCACCTGTCAACCTGTGCAAGATTGTACATACATGTTCACATACACTGCTGAGAATTCATAAGAATATCTTTTATGAGCATGGATCAAATGTCAAAAAAATGGGAACTCAAGATCCTCTGCACTGTGGCAAACTTCACTTAGTCCCTAGCATTGGGTCTTTGGTGAGGGAATTAGTTAAGTTGGGCAGTGTGGTGACTTCTTTTGGGTCTGAATACATACAGCTGAACCAGCTCAAATGAAGACGCTAAATTGCCCAATCTCAAACTTTTTACATGGGTATATCAAAAGAAATGTTTTATGGGTATAGAAAAGTCCCCTACCCATAGCTTTCTATACCACTGGGATAATATGTCATTTGATGTAGTGGAAGGTGTTTGCAAAGACTCTTGCTTGTTGTCACTGTGTTGAACGTACTACTCCTCTTTGAGACCTGACAGTTTTGTGAGCCCACACAATACAGGCAGCCTTGTGAATTCTCTGAGCACTCTCCAGGGGCCTTTTCATGGAAACTCAACTTCAACATCTGAAAAATATGTATCCCATCCTACAGTTGCCTCTGCAATAACCGATACATGTCAAAACCAATAATCATACAAAACCAATACTTTTTTGAGCAAATAAATCTTCATTTTTGGTGAATTTTGCTCTGAGAAAACAGATACTCGGTGAAAACCAATAGCTTTGGACCCAATTTTTTGGGTATTGGTTTTCACAGAGGTGACTGTAATGTTCTCCAATGTGTAGTATGGGTCCCATTGACAGAGGAGTGCATCACATTGAGGTTTTGGCTACCTAAAGGCAACAAGGTTTGAGCTGGGTATCTGTGTTTTAGTGCTACATGTACAGGACTTCAGCATATAAGTCATACATCTCTCTCCCTGGTGCTTTGAAGCACTATATAGGATTGTGCTCCACTCCAGTGTAGCACAAGACAAGATGAATGGTACTATACATTGATATAGTGGACCACTTTAGCACTGCAAACAAGTGTGTGGTGCCACACCACACACAATAAAGTGCTACACATACCATAGTGGATGGAGGTTTTTCTGACTTTGCTATGATTCAATAGCAACAGGGGCTAAATACCTAGCTTGTGATTACATGGCCAGAACAATCAAGTGGAAAAACATATTTTCCATCCATACATTTCATAGGAGCTATAAGGTGGCTTGGTATGTCCCTGATTTATGGTCTGACTATGGATAAGAGAAATGTGATGGAATTGAGGCAAATCCATGTTGTGTACATAACACATTGTCATATTGTCAACACAAGAAAAAATCAAATTGTGAATTTGCAGGTACTTGAGGTGTCAAGGTCTGTTATAACCCATACAGCCTATACTTGATATTGTTATATCATGTATGCTGGTACTTAGTAGTGAGATGGTAGTATTACACCAGTGTAGTATTAGGTACTCAAGTTTTGATCCCTATACTTCAATCTCATTTGTCTATGAAGGACACCTTTCTGATCTCTAGATCCATGAAAAGTCATAAAAGTAGCATTCACTGCCAGCATTAAAGAGGTTCCCAGATGGGAATATGGGTCGTAGGGATCAGACCGCCATTGTAATATATGTAGTCACAAAGGCTGTCTGATTCCTACGACCCATATTCCCATCTGGGAACCTCTTTAATGCTGGCAGTGATTCAACACAACATGAACCTGCAGAGCCAGGTAAGTACAGAGAGAGCCCAGCAAATATTTGCAGCTTTGACACTAGGTAACATGTGGAATTACTTTGGTCATTTGCATTTCTGCCATGAGCAGAGACGTGATTTCAGATTTCTGCATTGTCACTTGGACATACTTCAAATTGCACAAGTGTTTGTGATGATGATGCACTTTCACTAGAGTATACTCAATAGCCTTTCATTTTTGGTGAAATTTGACAACATGGAATGAATGCACAGTGATACTTGATCTTGTATGCTTGATATGAAACACAACCCAAGGTACAAAAAATACACCCAAAAATCCCTTTCCTGTGACCCAAATTGTTTCATTTGATTTGGGTATTTCATTTTTTAATTTAAGCACTAAGCATGATGTGTTGGAGAAGCTCAAGAATTTCTGGAGAAATAATCAGACAGCATATCAGTGAAGAAACACACATACAGGGACATGTTGAACAATAGAATAGAGTTGCATATACTTTCTACCACAATACACGCAAGCCAAAGCAGTTCCCACAAGAGCCACACACCCAATGGGAATTGAAACCATCAAAGGTATATGATTGACTTGGTCATGACAGCAAGAATTTCCTTCTTGGGATTGCCCAAAATCATTTTGTGACTGTGCATTCAATTGTTCTGAAAGTTTTCTGTCCTCCAAGTATTTTCAATTGGCAGCTGGGAATACCACACCTATTTTTTCAGAAGCTGTTTGGCTAGATGAAATGTCGTTTCCAGCAGACTTATAAGTTTCTGGTAGTCTTAAAACATAAGCAGAGGCTTGGTGATCCATCAAGATATTTATACCAAAGAAAATCTGTACAAATTTCATCTTGGAGTGGCCAATGAATATATCAATAGGAGTTTGAAAACTTGAGATTGGTACTTGATTTATCCTTTGAGAATATGTATGCAAGGGTCAGAAAGGAACAAAAGGTAAAGGTAAAAATGTAAGGAGGAAATGTAACTTTATGTATCTGAACAATTTGGTACTGAAGGTTTTCTGAATCCTTTTACAAATTTGAAAAGATTGGACACCAGATGAATTTGAGGGAGAAAGATCTTAACATCTAGAGTGGATGCCCTTTTTAAATTATCAAGACGTGAATACCAATGCCCACAATCATTTCCAAACCAATTCAGAATCATGTATGGTTTGAAAGTCAATTAGCCAGATTGAATCAGAGTAAATTTGAAAAATGCATCAGTGGAATAAGTGAGGTCCAAAACATGTACTAGAGATTCTGACGTCCTTTGGGGACCTGTACTACAAGTGTCATTGAAATCAATTAACATTTGTAGTTCAACTTTGAAATTAAATTTTAGATATTGATATATGAATTTCAAACAAAACATTGTAACTTTCAACTTTGAATTCATCCCATTGAAGATGACACACAGCCTCCAAGTTAGATAGTCTATATATATCTCAATCTGCAAACAGTAGTAGATATGTGTGAGGAGTCAGCAACAATTAGACACCATGTCCATGTGGTGTTTGCTTGTTGATGAGCGCACACAAGTGGCCGTTGTGCCTCAAAGGCAGTTTGTGTGCGCTTGTTGTCAGGTGACTGCCACAAGGACACAGTGAGGCTGACTCTTCACTAAAAAAGATGAAGAGTAAAGAAGGCAGTAGTCTTCACTTGATACACCCTAGTGAAGACTACAGTTAGTTGACCTCAAAAGGAGGATTTGATGCCAGTGGGATGGCTAAGTAATCCCTCTAAGGATCTTACTTGGAGCTCTGGTTGATCTTACAACTCTGGACCCTGCATTACTTCAGAATCTGAGGGTTCAGAGGTGTCACGGGGTACTTTAGAATCTTTTGAAGAGGACCCCTTTGTGAATTCCAAGCTTGTTCTGTTAGCTATTGATCCCACAAGCTCAGAACACCACTTGAGTTTTACACTAACCTGGATATGATTAGAACAATGAGAATCAAGATACAACAATATCACCAACGCTGCCACAGCTACGTTACTTTTTCCAGTAAAGTAACAGTATAGTAACTATTTTTACAGTATAGTAACGGCGGTACTAGTATCGGGCAGGGCGATACGGTACTCTCAGCCCTGGGAAGCAGTATTGTGGTTTTTGATACGGTATCGGGTAAAGTACCGGAAGAACCAATACTTTACTGATATCTCCGTCCGGCAGTATCGGGTATTGGTCAGTATCATGACAGTATCGAATCACAGAACTGTCAAATTTAGTCTTTGATCACACCGGAGTCGGAGTCAACTGATATGGCCAAATATCAAATGGCGACAGGGCTTCTGCGATATCAACAACATCAAAATGATTGTATCATCCTTGGTCAACACCATCACCTTTTCTTTTCGCAGGATATTCAACAAAACGATTCCATTGCCGCCATGTTCACTTGGCCCTCTTTCATAGCACCGTACGTAAGTAATCAGAATCTGAACGATTTTGCTCCAGACACAACGAATGAATGTGTAGGTCCTTTCTCTTGGTTTTAAATACTCAGAGAGATGAGAGCTGAACCTCGTATTCATCCCATTCTTGTCTTTTTTACTTTTTTACTCTGTTATTTTTTTACTTTTCTACTTTTCCTCTTTCACTTTTCCTATTTCACATTTCCGAAACTATTACCAACAGTTGTCCTCCGCCATCATGTCGCCGAGTTCTCGTCAAATAAGTTCCTCTCGACTAGCAGCATCATCTCCTACACATATATCCTCCTCGGTTGGTCCACGTCGAAGCACCCGAACTACGCCAGTTCGGCTCCCATCTTCTCGTACAATGCTTTCAATCCCATCAGATTCTCGAAAATCGATCCAGTCTGTTCGCAATAACCATTCCGAATCCGAATCAGAACAGTCAGTAATTCAGGTTATGAAGAAAGGTAAAAATAAACGAGTTCAAGATGAGGCCAGTACATACGAAGACGAACCAGAATCAGAATCAGATGCCTCAGTTCTAGTTCAGCAAAAGCAAAAGCAAAAATCGAAAGTTAAACCTCGAACAAAAAGGCCTGCCAAATCTCGGAGTCGCTGTAGCACCTCAAACGCAACCAAGAAGTCAATGGTTTCTCTGAAAGATTATCAACCCGAGAACAAGGTAAGTAGATTGTATTTCTTTGTTAGATTCATCAACAAAGAAATACATTATCTGACACATTTTAATGTTTTGTGTGATAGTCACAGAGCTCGCCGTGTACTACAAAACGACCAAAGCTTGTTGTCGACTTTACACAAGATTCGGAAGACAAACACGACAAAGTGAAAACAGCCATTGATCGCGAGGACAAGAACCTTTATGATAACATTAAGGACTATTTCGAAGCTCCGAAGCAAGGAGCTCAAGATGTAAGTCAATTTCTCCTTACTCATCCTTACACTCTCATCGTTTGACCTCCTTAAGCTAATGTAATCATTTGAATCAAGCCCAATGAAGGTCCCTGGAATTCATTCCCTTGCAAGTGGTGTGATCGGCTAGTTCGTGGTGGTGGAGGTTCAGGTTCCAACCTCTTGGCTCATAGAGATGGCTCCACTCAGGCTGGGAAATCTGGTAAACCAGGTTGCACCCGACGGGAGGAAGCCCAAGCGGCCGGTTGTCGCCTGCCAATCACCATTGCTGAAGAACGAGCTCTATCTAGACAAGCTAAACAAGCCGCCATGACTCAAACCGCCATGGAGTCGTATTTTCCAAAGTCCACTGCTTTTTCCAACTTGATCTTAAATCAACTCGTCGGAATGTGGGTTGTACGGACCTCTCAACCTTGGCTGCAAATTGAAGATCCGGCTCTTTGGGCGGCTTTTCGATATGCGAACCCTCTGGCTCAACTCTATGGACGAACTTGGGTGGCGTGGTTTGCTCACAAGATGTATCTTGGGCTTAGATCCACTGTGATATCGGAACTCCAAGTAAGGATTATTTATGCACTCTTTACGCTTGTTTTTGACAAACACTGATGTTTCTTAAATCAGGCCAATACTTCCAAGTTTGGCCTTATCCTCGATGCCTGGACTTCACCTCGAAACCGATACGGATTTATATCGGCGTCGGTCACATACATCAATTCTCAGTGGAAGTATATCACTCGACATCTGTCCATGAAAATGATAGTGTGGCACCATAAAGGTGAATGGTTGGCCGAACCACTCATCAATGTACTTGTCAAGCACAAGCTTTACTCTAAGATAAGTCACTATCTTTTAATATTTACTTTTTTTAAACATATACGCTCATCAAACCTGGCTGACATACATAAGTTATGGATTACACATGGTCTCACAGACTCATGATTCCGGTGGCAATAACGACACATGTGCTCGAGCCATGCAAGCACGACTATCAAAAGTTGCCAAGGACAAGCATGAAGATTTTGAATTTGACGAGGCAACTGACCGTGTTCGATGTGCCGGTCACAAAATCGCATTGGTAGTTAATGCAGGCCTTCAAGCGTTGGGAATTCAAGCTCCACCTCCTCCTTTGGTTAAGTCTACAATCCTTGGCGAATTCCTCCTTTCCGAACATTCGATGTCATCTATTCCTGAAGAAGAAGAAGATAAACAAGAAGATGTCAACAAAGAACAAGATTTAGGAGTTGAAGTATCTGAATTGGAAGATGAAGAAGAGAACGACCTTACTCACTTACCAGGAAAAGAAGTTGGAGATCAATGGTACAATGTGATTGATGGACCATTTGATCCATCTCCTGATCAATCTGCAACGGATCCTCCCGCTCAGCCCGCAACCGATTGTACAGAGGCAAATGCAGTATATGTTTTGACACTCGTGGTAAGTCTTTTTGAACTTGTCTTTTCTGGATCAATTTTATAATTAATTTAATGTTTTTTTTCTCAGCTTGATGAAATCGCTAAGAAGATTGGCGGATCTTCCAGAATGTTACAGGTTTTTGATGCCACTTGCAAAAGTATGGATGTTTCTTTTCCTCGGCCGATCCCTGGATATGGAATCCGTTGGAACATTAAGCTTCAATGTTGGGAAAGGCTGTTCAACGCGCAAGAGGTTTGTACATTTCTTTTCATTTCATATATTATATCTAATTAATCGAATTTCCGCTGCTGATTTGCTCTTTCAAAATCAGGTCATTGACAGAATGCTCAAAGTGGATCAGAAGGAGATCTCTAAAGGCAAAAACAGCAAACATCAAAATGCCGAACTGGGACCTAGTGATCCGAATCAAGATCAACCTCGTGGTATCTTCAATAAAGTTTACATATCCCCTGAACAATGGAAGCAAGTAGGGAAATTGATTAAGGTGCTTCGTGTAAGTCATCATCAATCTCAATCTCTCGTAACTACATCTACATATTAACAATAATATACTGATAATATGGTGCTGGAAACTCAGGAATTTCAAACTTTGACCAAGGTCTTCAAAGCCGATGCTCCGACTGGCTCTCTAGTCATTCCTACTTATGTCAAACTCGTCAAATCGCTTCAAGACAAGATTGATTCCTGTAGTTCCCGAGCCGACCCTCTATTCCCGATGTACCATGCAATGCATGTCCGGGTGAAGTCATACTTGACTGAAGCCCTCAAATCGGATGTCTTGATCCTAGCCACTATCCTTCACCCCAGCTGGCGCACGGATTATTTTCAATTCGCTTTTGGGGATGGCTCTGAAGAATTCAAGGTAGCTCAAGGATTGTTACAAACTGGCTTCGACGGTTGAAAACGCAAAATGAATGAAGGTAAGAATAATCCAGATGGTATGGCTGAATCAAACGAGGACGAGGACGAAGAGGACAATGGATTTCGAGCGCATCAAAAGAAGGTGCAGACTTGCTCGGAAAACGAACTGATCAACTACCTTGAGCGTGTTGATGAGCCATCCAAGGCAGTTGAAAAGGACGCAAATCTGGCGTTAGAATGGTGGAAGGTTATATAAATTTTGATTTCTATTGATCATTTGTCTAACTCGAAGCTGACTTAAGTTTTGTTTTACTAGGTGAATGAATCAAGATACCCAGTGCTATTGAATTTGGCCAGAGACTATCTAGCTGGATGTGGGGCATCGTGTGCAGTTGAGAGGACATTCTCATGTGCTGCAGATGTCTGTTGCCGCGATCGAGGCGCTTTGAAACCTGCAACAGTAGAGCGCTCGGTAGGAGCTTGTATGTGGACAAGGGATGGGGTTCTTATAGAAGGTGAAGAATTTGTTGAACCTCAAAGATGTATGGCAGAGAGTATGACATTGGACAAAGCAAATTGTAAGAGAAGAGGGGGGGGTAAAACCAAATGTAAAGAATAAAACAAATCTTGCTTTTGTCTTTTTTTATCTTTTATATTTACTTTCTCTGAAACCGGTTCAAGTTTTTCAGTCCTCCTTTCTCAAGTCAAACACACGTGTTTTTTTTCTCCATTCCTTTTTGAATCATGCCTCGTTTTTTTTGCTCTTTCAATCCCCACTCAAATGCAATCAACGATACTGCCTTGTTATGCTTTTCTGGCGCTGATACCAGTATGGGTATCGGTATCGTGACAGTATCGGAAAGATTTTTGATACTCAATACAGTACCGGTATTGAACTTGGTATTGGCAATACTTTACTTGACTTGCTCAGCAATGGTATCGTGAAATCCAATACCGTATCGGGTATCAGTATCGGATTGCCGGTTCTTTACTAAAGTGCCTTGAGCCTAGTATCGTAGATTCAATACTTTACTCGGTATCGCCAATACTATACCGGTATAGTAACTGTGGCAGCGTTGATATCACTATACTAAGTATTCTTGGTGAAGAATCAAGTAAGATGTGATGAGGAGTTGTGGAATGATAATAAGTTGGTTCTTCTTCTAGAGTGGGAAGAAGAGGAGTTTATATATTCCAGACCTAGGCGTCAACTTGTGGTTGGCACTTAGGTTTGTGTTTCTTTGAGTTAGGTTTGGGTTAGGTTTGCTATTACTAGTTAAATTATAGTAAGTCTTGTTGCTTAAGTGACTCTTGAAACTAGGGCTATGACCTGGCCCTGGCGCAATGTGGCCGGCCCTTAAAAGGCCCGGCTGCATCTTCAAGCAGACCAGGGCCTGTTTTGGGCCTGTATTGAAGGGATTGGACCAAAAATGTCAGGGTCAGCGCCCTGAGGGCCCAGGCCCATGGCGGGGCTCCTGGCACTCTGTAGGGCAAGCTTAATTTTTAGTGGATTGTTTGAAACAGTAGAGAATGTGTGGGCATGCCATCAACAGCTGAATTGTGAAATAATTCAACATTGAATTGAGAGATGACCAACACCTACAAGACAAATCATAATAAAGAGGAACACCAACTCTAAACACTCCAATAAGACTGTTCACTTTTGTCATTGCACATACTTCAAAGTTTGTCAGGAGGTTGTTCAATGTAAATGTGCTTGATATGACTAAACTTGTATTCCCAATACTTCCAGTTCACAATCACCATTTAAGGTTTTTTAGCACCCCAACATGCACACACAACACATGTTTGATATAGGTTTTTAAGAGCCTCTGGAGAGGTCCATATGATAGGAACTAAGGAATAGAGTGAATTCAAACACCCAATAATGACTTTGATCTCAGATACCCCCTTGTCAATCTCAATTTGAAGTGCCCAAATTGGCAGGGTTCACATATCACAATGTTTTACAAAGCCCAGATTGATCAATGTGTTCAGAACCAAAGCAACGCTGCAACAGTTACGTTACTGTTTACAGTAAAGTAATGGTAAAGTAACTTTTTTCCATTATAAGTATCTTGATACTTAGTATCAGTCTGACCAATACTTTACTCCCAGGTCCTTGGGATGGTATTGTGGATTTTGATACTGTATTGAGTAAATTATCAGAAAACCAATACTTTACCCAGCA